TATTTATATTTATATTTATATTTATATTTATATTTATATTTATATTTATATTTATATTTATATTTATATTTATACTAGGTAACCCCGCGAACTTCGTACCGCTCAACAGTCAATAAATGTTATATTAAATTATAGGTAAACTAAATTTAGAAATTTATTGACGTAATAAAATGAATACAAAAAATTTATTGTATTGAATAGTTTATTAGGATATTGATATATAATTAATTATTTTAATGGTCTGTCAGCAAGAACCTATGGGTTGCACTCCGATTGATTCTCTTCAATAAAGAACCTTGTGATATACGATATTTTTTGTTTTTTTATCAGGCGCAAGAACAAATAAAGCAGATGGTTTGCCGACACGTGAACATGCCACATACAATTGACCATGTGAAAAACATGCATTTTCTAGATTCAGACCACAAACACTAAAGGATTGGCCTTGTGATTAATTTATAGTCATAGCGAATGCAAGCCGAATAGGAAATTGAATTCGTTTAAACTCAAAGGGCATATCGATTGAGATCATTGGAATCCTCGGAATGAGAACTTCATCACTTTTGAATTTTCCTTTGAGTATCATTGAATCACATTGGCCATCAGTTTTGTTATCACTAAACGCGTTCCATTGCATAGTTTTGGTTGGTTTAGATTTCGAAGCATAATGACTACCGAACCAATCTTTAATTGTAAATTGTGCGGTGGTAAGCCAGGCACATCCAAGGAGTTCAAAAATTCAGTTGGATAGTTGGTAGCTTCTTCTTCGTTTGTTACACAGTCAATAGATTTGAATGTATGCAGAGTACCAACGATTTGATTTTGAATTACAAAGCTTAAGTCATTCACATCTTTGTTCTTAGCTGCCAAAATTGCTCGCTCACTCAACCATTTTTTGTTTTTATGATTATCAATGATGTTCGGAAATACTTCATTGATGAGTTCGTCTTTTGATGAGACGAAATTGCAAAAATTTGAAGGAAATGCAATTAATCCGCTCGATTCTTCAACAGCTACACGGCCATTACCGATTAACAGCAATTGCTTGGAGAACTCTTCAGCAGATGTATCGTTTACCAATGCAACTCTCATGTTTGTTACCAGCTGAAGTTTCTTCACATAGCGCCAAAGATTTGATGATTTAAGGCAAGCATTTATTTCGTCGGCAGCAGTCGATTTTGGAATGACTGGGAGTGTTTGGCGAAAATCGCCAGACAGTAAAATCATTGCGCGTCCAAAACATCTCGAGTCATTGCGAAGATCTTTCAATGTTCTGTCAAGTGCTTCTAATGCGCGTTTGTGAGCCATTGTGCATTTGTCCCAGATGATGATTTTAGATGCTACTAAAACTTTAGCTATTGCAGAATGCTTCGCAATATTACATATCGGTTGCTCGGTAGTTTGAAGGTTTAACGGCAATTTTAACGCTCAATGAGCCGTACGGCATCCTTCTAACAATGTAGCCGCTATTTCAGAAGAAGCAACTGCTACCGCAATGTCGGAATATCGCACGAACAGTGGCCAAAATTAAAGACATGAATGTTTTACCAGTCCCACCGGGGGCTTCCAGGAAAAAAAAGCCACCATTTTCTTCATTAATCGCTTTCATTAATTTTAAACTTCCTACTGTGGCGGATTAAATAGAAGTACATTAGTTTGAACTGATTGGTCTAATTCATGTCGATCATATTCACGTTCACGTTCCAATTCTCGATTAAATGCGTTATTTATTCCACGATCAGGAGCTGGCATTCCTAATCTGACTAACAAATTACCGCTAGTATGGTAACATATGTCTTCGATCAAGAGCAAAGCCTGATTATGCATTTCATCATTCGCCTGAAGATCGGGATTTCTTGAACTGACACGAATTCTATGTAAAATGTCTTCTGACATGTTATTCTTATATTTGTTCCACAGGTCACGTGGATTCGATGGTATATTGAAAACAATATTTATTTATTATATTTGAATTTATTATATTTGAAATATTTAAAAAAAAAATTTATAAAGGAAATCAATATCACTCAAACTGTCGAACTGTCAACAGTTTGAAACAGCATTTACAAATTTATTATTTTTGCTAAAATTAGTGGATTTTTCCAATATTTTATAATGTAATCTGCTATTCGGAGCGGAGACGATTCCAACAAATCAAAGATAATTAAAATCGGTTCAGCCGTTCTTGAGTTATGGGTGGTCTAACTAACACGACTTTCTTTTATGTATATAGATTTATATTTATATTTATATTTATATTTATATTTATATTTATATTTATATTTATATTTATATTTATATTTATATTTATAATTATATTTATATTTATATTTATATTTATATTTATATTTTATATATTATATTTATATTATATATTTAATTTATATTTATATTTATATTTATATTTATATTTATATTTCTATTGTTATGTTATCGCCTTTATGCGCGTATATTCGAATCACAGGATTTTGTAAAAAAATGAAACAAACTTCTTAATTAGCGAAACTATAGTTTATTATAGTATTAAAAAATATTTAAACATTCCATTGTTAAGGGAGGGCAGGAAGAGAAACAAGAAAGAAGATAAGAAAGGAGGTAAAAAGAAATAGAAGAAAGAGAAGAAAAGAAAGAAGGATAAGAGAGAAGACAAGAAGGAAGATAAGAGGAAGAAGAAGACTGATTCAAATAATGAATAGGGAAAAAAGAAACAGAAGAAAGCGAAAAAAGGAAAGGAGGAAAGACTATTTCGGCTTAGATAGTTATGATTTCATGTTAATCGGCTCTGGTATAGCGGAATCAGTTGAAATTAACATCTGCTTGGTCGAGCAAGAGTCCCCATATGTTATATATGTTGAGGGTATTCTGTTTGAAGTAGATTTCACATGCGATGTTGTTATTCCATGTGAAGCAATTGGCACACATGACATATCCCCGTAAATATGCAATTTAAGGCAGATGACATATTAACTGTTAATATTCCATCCAATGCGAATGTCTTTGATAGCATGTTGGTTACAGATACTCAAATTGATGCCGGCAGTGCAGTTGATACAGTTTTCAGGATTAATCAGGAATTCAAATATGATGCTAAGATCGCAGAGGGCTTGTTGGTCGCGGATAAGTTATCTTATAAAGATATACGATTAAACGTTGATGCCGACCTCATAGATGATAAGAACGCGACAATCAATGGAAATGTCTTGTTTTATGAGGATACCACAGATGACGTATTGGCTACGGGTAGTGAATTTAATGCTGATGTCAGGGATGTCTTGTTCGTTTCGGATATAACAAATAATGATGATTTCACAACTGATATTGATAACATGTATTTGATGGTGCGGGTTTTGTTGATCAGTATATTCCTGATTGGCATACTCAATGCCTTGACAAGTTTGTTGCGTCTAACGTAAGTAGCATTGATGATAGTGACAGCTGTTTGCAAATGGAGGCTTATCGGGTGACTCAGACGACGCGGATTTAAAATTCGGAATAACGCCACTTTGCGGCAAGATGACATGTGACTACACTGGAGTAAGTGGGACCAAGCAGATGTTAATTTCAACTGATTCCGCTATACCAAAGCCGATTAACATGAAATCATAACTATCTAAGCCGAAATAGTCTTTCCTCCTTTTCTTTCTTCGCTTTCTTCTGTTTCTTTTTTCCCTATTCATTATTTGAATCAGTCTTCTTCTTCCTCTTATCTTTCTTTTTATCTTCTCTCTTATCCTTCTTTCTTTTCTTCTCTTTCCTCTATTTCGTTTTACCTCCTTTCTTATCTTCTTTCTTGTCGCTTTTCCTGCCTTCTTTTCTGTCTTTCCTTTTGTCTTCCTTCTTGTCTTTCTTCCTGCCTTCACTCCAGTTTCCATTTTCCGCACGTTTGCTGTAAAGCAACACATTTTACCGGCAGCTTCGTACGTTAAAGCGCCGCTAACTGTTTCAGAGTATGTCTCCTTCGAGAACATTACGACCTGACCCTTAGTTTCCGGATCACGTATGCCGTCTATTGAATTGTCGATTTTACTCTTCTCCATAATATCACCAGAGCTACCAATCTGGACCAAGTAACACAATCGTTCAATGTCGGCATTGAACTCTCCAGCACTCTCGTCAACAGGCGAAGCTCTTGCTTCCAATACTACCCTGTGTAATGGAGCCATAAAAACGTTACCGTACTTGCGCTCCAATGTATCCATTACAGCTTGGTAGTTTTGCCGCACTAGCGTCGGTGCCTGTAGTTCAACGCTACCAGTTTCACGAATGGCTAAAGATGACCCGCTTACCTGCCTACTCTCAGCATGGCTTTCCAATTGAACCGTCTCACCTTTTGAGACCTGGACATTCTGATCAATCGGGTCCTTTCTTCTCGAGCACCTTTTTGTAACTCCAACTTTAATTCGACAAAATTTTGTCCTAATGTGTGCGTGATTTCACTAAATTGTTGTTCCAACTTGCGTAAACCGTGCGCCTGTTCTTCTGAATTTTGCGCAAGCTTTTCTTCCAACTTGCGTAAACTGTGCGCCTGTTTTTCTGAATTTTTCTCAAGCTTCTGCATCATTAAGTTCATGATTGCCATCATTTCACTATTCTTGTCAGGTTTTTCATCTAGGAACTCGTGTTCTTCTACATTTATGCCATTAGCCTCCAACGCCTCACGAAGTCTCAACTGCAGTTCTGCTTTCACACCACCTGTGCCCAGTCCCACATTCTCCAACTGCTTTTTCAGTTGAACCACAGTCAATTTTTCCAATTTCACCATTTTACAAAATTCCACTTCTGACACCAAATGTTACGTTATCGCCTTTATGCGTGTATATTCGAATCACAGGATTTTGTAAAAAAATGAAACAAACTTCTTAATTAGCGAAACTATACTTTATTATAGTATTGTAGTATTAAAAAGAACTAGTAATCAAAACAAATTCCAACTAACTTTTTATAAAATATCAATTGACATAATCATTAAAAAATATTTAAAAAAAGTAACTTACTTATTATATAAATACTAGATAACCCGACAAACGTTGTTTTGCCTTATAAATTATTTCTAGTTTCTAGATAAATTCTAGTGTAGACAAAAAGTAACTTACTTATTATAAGTGTGTAAGTATGTGGTGCATGAGATAGGCATGGAGCGCTATGAACGAAAACGAAAATAAAAATATCAAACGCCAAACAATATTATTTTTAAGTTATTATAGTTTATTTATTAAATTATTAATTTAAAATCAATAGATTTGTATAATACCAAGTTCCCTGGCAACAACTGTTGTATCTTCAAATTTAAATTGTCTTGGATTGACTGTAAATAATAATAATGATAATGGGCCAGTAACATTAACCAACAACAGTCGAAGATAAAAGCACTCAGTGTGTCTTGGATTAACTGTAAATAAGCGTTCGATTTAAATAAATTGAGACATGCATCAACTGGTGAAACTTGCTTGCGGGGCATCCATTTTTTTGTTTGAGCCCATGTGAAATAGCGTGGTACTTGTGAATAGAGTAATGTTCTTGCAAAGGCACCAAAATCATCCGTACTATTACACAAAAAAATGCAGTGAGTGTAGATTTAGGTGGATTTGTACCACGATCAATCACTGTCTCGTTCGTGAAAAATACACGCTGACCGTTTCCAAGATGGACGGCTACCTGAACAGCTGCTGGATCCCGTTCATGAATTAGAAAACCGAAGATACGCCAAGACCAATTTGGTAGAGCGTAATTTCACCGTTTTTGTTCATTGGAGGAGCATTTACATTAGTATTTTCTACTCTAAACACAGCCATATCACTGCCTTTTTGGACATACTTGCAAATATATTTGATGCTCTTCACAGAACTGCAAAACTCAACATTAATATGAGCATTGTGTCTTGCTTAGCAGATGCGAATACGGCACCACCCGCCATTGTCCCCCATTATCGAGATTTCTTCGACGATATATTGGATATTCGTCGGTATTTGTTCTAGTATCATTAGTGAAATCTTTATAAAAATTTTTTGTACATTTTTCATCTGACATGCAAGGCGAAGACGAAGTGGATGTAAATGCTCGATGTACTTGTTGGCGTAGTTACATAAAATATTAAGAAAAAATTTTTGTTTTTCAAAAATATAAACAAAATTTATGTCAAAAAAATAAAAAATTTTTTGTTAAGCACTAAGGATATTTTTACTGGGTAGGGACTCCCTAATCACTTTAGCGGTATGAAAAATAGATAGTAGCCGATTCTCAGACCTACTGAATACGCATATAAAATTTGGTAAAAATCGGTAAAGCCGTTTCGGAGGAGTACGGTAACT